AAATAACTTCCGATTAAAGTATAACTACTAACCTATCAATACCAGTATCATCTCGCTTTTCCTCCGGGTTTAAATTGAAACCTGTACGGTTTTAACCTGTCATTTTACTTCTTATTGCCTGATCGTAACTCGTGAGATGGTCTTATGCTTCAAAGACCTAATTCTGAACTAATTAAACACTGTTCAGCTACCCTGGAGTTTTACCAAGGCGTATAAAAAATGTTCATTTAAAGCGAATTTTATATAAGCACTTAAAAGAACCTCCAACGATTAAATATCTCAGTACCACTGGTGTTTACAATGTTTATACTTAAAAAAATTACTATACGTGTATGTAAACTGACAATTACTATACGTGTATGTAAACTGACAATTACTACACGTGTATGTAAACTGACAATTACTACACGTGTATGTAAACTGACAATTACTACACGTGTATGTAAACTGACAATTACTACACGTGTATGTAAACTGACAATTACTACACGTGTATGTAAACTGACAATTACTACACGTGTATGTAAACTGACAATTACTACACGTGTATGTAAACTGACAATTACTACACGTGTATGTAAACTGACAATTACTACACGTGTATGTAAACTGACAATTACTACACGTGTATGTAAACTGACAATTACTACACGTGTATGTAAACTGACAATTACTACACGTGTATGTAAACTGACAATTACTACACGTGTATGTAAACTGACAATTACTACACGTGTATGTAAACTGACAATTACTACACGTGTATGTAAACTGACAATTACTACACGTGTATGTAAACTGACAATTACTATATGTGTATGTAAACTGACAATTACTACATGTGTATATGAACTGCCAAGTACTATATGTGTATGTAAACTAACAATTAGTATAGTGTATGTAAATGGACAATTACTATACGTGTATGTAAACTGACAATTACTATATGTGTATGTAAACTGACAATTACTACATGTGTATGTAAACTGACAATTACTAAACGTGTTTGTAAACTGACAATTACTATTCGTGTATGTAAACTGACAATTACCATACGTGTATGTAAACTGACAATTACTATACGTGTATGTAAACTAACAATTAGTATAGTGTATGTAAACGGACAATTAATATATGTGTATGTAAACTGACAATTACTATATGTGTATGTAAACTGACAATTACTACATGTGTATATGAACTGCCAAGTACTATATGTGTATGTAAACTAACAATTAGTATAGTGTATGTAAATGGACAATTACTATACGTGTATGTAAACTGACAATTACTATATGTGTATGTAAACTGACAATTACTACATGTGTATGTAAACTGACAATTACTAAACGTGTTTGTAAACTGACAATTACTATTCGTGTATGTAAACTGACAATTACCATACGTGTATGTAAACTGACAATTACTATATGTGTATGTAAACTGACAATTACTATATGTGTATGTAAACTGACAATTACTACATGTGTATGTAAACTGACAATTACTAAACGTGTTTGTAAACTGACAATTACTATTCGTGTATGTAAACTGACAATTACCATACGTGTATGTAAACTGACAATTACTATACGTGTATGTAAACTAACAATTAGTATAGTGTATGTAAACGGACAATTAATATATGTGTATGTAAACTGACAATTACTATATGTGTATGTAAACTGACAATTACTACATGTGTATATGAACTGCCAAGTACTATATGTGTATGTAAACTAACAATTAGTATAGTGTATGTAAATGGACAATTACTATACGTGTATGTAAACTGACAATTACTATATGTGTATGTAAACTGACAATTGCTACACGTGTATGTAAACTGACAATTACTAAACGTGTTTGTAAACTGACAATTACTATTCGTGTATGTAAACTGACAATTACCATACGTGTATGTAAACTGACAATTACTATACGTGTATGTAAACTAACAATTAGTATAGTGTATGTAAACGGACAATTAATATATGTGTATGTAAACTGACAATTACTATATGTGTATGTAAACTGACAATTACTACATGTGTATATGAACTGCCAAGTACTATATGTGTATGTAAACTAACAATTAGTATAGTGTATGTAAATGGACAATTACTATACGTGTATGTAAACTGACAATTACTATATGTGTATGTAAACTGACAATTACTACATGTGTATGTAAACTGACAATTACTAAACGTGTTTGTAAACTGACAATTACTATTCGTGTATGTAAACTGACAATTACCATACGTGTATGTAAACTGACAATTACTATATGTGTATGTAAACTAACAATTACTATATGTGTATGTAAACTGACAATTACTACATGTGTATATGAACTGCCAAGTACTATATGTGTATGTAAACTAACAATTAGTATAGTGTATGTAAATGGACAATTACTATACGTGTATGTAAACTGACAATTACTATATGTGTATGTAAACTGACAATTACTACATGTGTATGTAAACTGACAATTACTAAACGTGTTTGTAAACTGACAATTACTATTCGTGTATGTAAACTGACAATTACCATACGTGTATGTAAACTGACAATTACTATACGTGTATGTAAACTAACAATTAGTATAGTGTATGTAAACGGACAATTAATATATGTGTATGTAAACTGACAATTACTATATGTGTATGTAAACTGACAATTACTACATGTGTATATGAACTGCCAAGTACTATATGTGTATGTAAACTAACAATTAGTATAGTGTATGTAAATGGACAATTACTATACGTGTATGTAAACTGACAATTACTATATGTGTATGTAAACTGACAATTACTACATGTGTATGTAAACTGACAATTACTAAACGTGTTTGTAAACTGACAATTACTATTCGTGTATGTAAACTGACAATTACCATACGTGTATGTAAACTGACAATTACTATACGTGTATGTAAACTAACAATTAGTATAGTGTATGTAAACGGACAATTAATATATGTGTATGTAAACTGACAATTACTATATGTGTATGTAAACTGACAATTACTACATGTGTATATGAACTGCCAAGTACTATATGTGTATGTAAACTAACAATTAGTATAGTGTATGTAAATGGACAATTACTATACGTGTATGTAAACTGACAATTACTATATGTGTATGTAAACTGACAATTGCTACACGTGTATGTAAACTGACAATTACTAAACGTGTTTGTAAACTGACAATTACTATTCGTGTATGTAAACTGACAATTACCATACGTGTATGTAAACTGACAATTACTATACGTGTATGTAAACTAACAATTAGTATAGTGTATGTAAACGGACAATTAATATATGTGTATGTAAACTGACAATTACTATATGTGTATGTAAACTGACAATTACTACATGTGTATATGAACTGCCAAGTACTATATGTGTATGTAAACTAACAATTAGTATAGTGTATGTAAATGGACAATTACTATACGTGTATGTAAACTGACAATTACTATATGTGTATGTAAACTGACAATTACTACATGTGTATGTAAACTGACAATTACTAAACGTGTTTGTAAACTGACAATTACTATTCGTGTATGTAAACTGACAATTACCATACGTGTATGTAAACTGACAATTACTATACGTGTATGTAAACTAACAATTACTATATGTGTATGTAAACTGACAATTACTACATGTGTATGTGAACTGCCAAGTACTATATGTGTATGTAAACTAACAATTAGTATAGTGTATGTAAATGGACAATTACTATACGTGTATGTAAACTGACAATTACTATATGTGTATGTAAACTGACAATTACTACATGTGTATGTAAACTGACAATTACTAAACGTGTTTGTAAACTGACAATTACTATTCGTGTATGTAAACTGACAATTACCATACGTGTATGTAAACTGACAATTACTATACGTGTATGTAAACTAACAATTAGTATAGTGTATGTAAACGGACAATTAATATATGTGTATGTAAACTGACAATTACTATATGTGTATGTAAACTGACAATTACTACATGTGTATATGAACTGCCAAGTACTATATGTGTATGTAAACTAACAATTAGTATAGTGTATGTAAATGGACAATTACTATACGTGTATGTAAACTGACAATTACTATATGTGTATGTAAACTGACAATTGCTACACGTGTATGTAAACTGACAATTACTAAACGTGTTTGTAAACTGACAATTACTATTCGTGTATGTAAACTGACAATTACCATACGTGTATGTAAACTGACAATTACTATACGTGTATGTAAACTAACAATTAGTATAGTGTATGTAAACGGACAATTAATATATGTGTATGTAAACTGACAATTACTATATGTGTATGTAAACTGACAATTACTACATGTGTATATGAACTGCCAAGTACTATATGTGTATGTAAACTAACAATTAGTATAGTGTATGTAAATGGACAATTACTATACGTGTATGTAAACTGACAATTACTATATGTGTATGTAAACTGACAATTACTACATGTGTATGTAAACTGACAATTACTAAACGTGTTTGTAAACTGACAATTACTATTCGTGTATGTAAACTGACAATTACCATACGTGTATGTAAACTGACAATTACTATACGTGTATGTAAACTAACAATTAGTATAGTGTATGTAAACGGACAATTACTATATGTGTATGTAAACTGACAATTACTATATGCGTATGTAAACTGACAATTGCTACACGTGTATGTAAACTGACAATTACTAAACGTGTTTGTCAACTGACAATTACTATTCGTGTATGTAAACTGACAATTACTACACGTGTATATGAACTGACAATTACTATACGTGTATGTAAACTAACAATTAGTATAGTGTATGTAAACGGACAATTAATATATGTGTATGTAAACTGACAATTACTATACGTGTATGTAAACTGACAATTACTACACGTGTATTTAAACTAACAATTAGTATAATGTACGCATGGACATTTTCTATCATTTTATAAAATATATGGCGTTCTTTACTCGATACAAAGCGTAAATGAAATAAATGTATAAAAAACGGGTCATGTGATAATGCATAAGCTTGTTACACCAACGTGTATTTGAACTGAATATTTCCCTCTTCATAGTAACTATCTATGCAATCCTGATTGTCAACCACTAAACAGCTTGTAAAGCGATTGTGGACGTTTGTCCCTCCGCCACCTTCGCTTGGATGTTGTTTGTGCCGGAATAAACCAGGATACACATTACGTGTAGCTAAAGCCGGGTTTTTGTTTACATAAACTAAACGTCCATTATGTGGAATCCTGGTCAGATCACGAATTTGAGATCTTAGAATGTAGGAACCGGTAATGGACGAAGTAGCCCATATATCAATATGCCAATGTTTGCTACTTGCACTTAAAATCGACGGTTGTTCAGATGCTGAACAGTTCCGAGGTTTTCGATCCGTCCCAAATTTAATGCCTTTGGACCGTAGTGTGATTCCGGCTTTCTCTAAGGTCCTGAAGTCTTCACACCAAAATTTGATGTCTCCGTCAATCTCCCATGGTATCACCTTATACAATTTCACAGCTCCCAGGTGTGTCCCGGCATTCAATTGGCACGGCACACCTGCTTTCTCACACATCTCCATGACGCCGTTGTTTAAATCTGCCAGTTCCTGAACGCAACATGGTGATCTGACATACCCTTTCCCCTTCTTACATTGGTACGGGTAGTTACATCCAAAATGTATAGTCAGACCCATTGAGAATTTCAATTTGTAAAGATATCGTTTTCTTCCAAATTTCTCCCAGTCCGTGGTTATCTCGCTACGGCGAGGGGAGTCCATATAAAACATTGCATCAGGACAAACAGCAACTTCACCCTCAAGTCTCATAAAAAAGTCTTCATATAATCCCATAGGCGTCAAATTGCCATCAAATTGTACCTGCTTCAATTTGTCGGTTCTGATCAAAAACGGTCCGTCCACGTGATCACAAAATACACAGTCGTGCATGGACTCGTCGTAGCCCTCCTCATATGCTACCGTGTAGTTTCGGAGCACCCTCTGATGACAACCTAAACTCCAAACAGAGTCAGAGTTTCGGATGGACCCTCCTACTGCGGTAACTTGCAGCCTCTCAATTTCCCGTACGAGTCGCTCGATGCGGGAATCAGAATCAAGTGCCGTCATATTTTTAACAACTAAAGTGTATTTGGTTTTCACTCTAGCTATTAACTTGTTTAAAGCTTCCCCCTCTTTGATACTAGACGCCAAGTGTATGACATGTGTACGGTTCTGCTCCTTGATATTACCACCATAGTCCCCGACTACAGCCGAGATATATCCGCCGTAACCATTTGAGAAGAACTTTGTACTATCAGCATGTGAACCATAATCAAGGCGAACAATTGTGACGATTTCCTCAATACGTTTAGAGTAGGAGCAATTTTGGACCCGATATCCATATATATTGTCAACGTAATACTCCGGACACACGCTGTCCGACTTATACTCCTTCCGTTTTGTGACGTTTTCAAAGGAGGTTCCGAATCTTTTCAGTACTCTATCCATATGTTCGCATGCGTATCTCAGTGCTTTGCTTGTTTTGGAGCCTCTTGCGTGTAACCTTGCTTGTTTTAGATAAAGGGCTACATCAATTATTTGACGTTTAATATCTGACACATCCACGTGATCTATGGGAGTGTCCAATGACGCCGATTTTGTGTAGGTTTTAGACAAAACATGATGATTGGTTGAGCTTTGAATGTCTGTAATGAGTATAAGTGCTAACACCATTCCGATTCCGAGACATAGTGCAAAATATTTCTTCATTGTTATCACCTGTAAAACGAAATATAAAATTAATAGATAATACCATCACATAATGTAGCAGATATCACATTGTCTGTGTTTCACCACTGTAGTCGTTTGTCGTTTAGATCAACTATTGATTGAATTGGTTTCACAGGAAGCATCTGTGTCAAAATGTAAAACTAACTACATAGTTTAGTGACAATTATATATTTTAGCTAGTTAGTGTATCTAATTAGTGGGAATTGTTCATATAAGACCTTTTTTGAATAAGAAGTAATTAACAGATAGAAACTTAGGAATTTAGAGAAAATAATAATGCTTTTTATATTGGGTTGATATGATTTGTCTTAGCATGTGCAACCCAATTCGTGAAAAAAATCTTTGTATATTTTGGCAATAGTGTATCTTATTAGTGGGAATTGTTCATATTCGACCTTCTTTGAATAAGAAGTAATTAACAGATAGTATCTAAGAAATTTAAAATATTTGTTCATGCTTTCACTCATTGGGTTGATATGATTTGCTATCATGTGCAACCCAATTCGTGAAAAGTGAAAAAAAAATCTTTACATATTTTAGCTTATTAGTGGGAATTGTTCATATTAGACCTTCTTTGAATAAGAAGTAATTTTAAAACAGGTAGAAACTTAGGAATTTAGAGGGGGAAAAACATGTTTTCACATATTGGGTTGATAGGATTTGTTCTAGCAGGTGCAACCCAATTCGTGAAAAGTGAAAAAAAATCTTAATATTTGTTTTGGATAATTAGCGTATCTTATGAATGGGAACTGTTTAGATAAGAAGTTTTTTTGAATAATAAGTAGTTAACAGATAGTAACTTTGGAAATAATTTTTTCATGTTTTTACATATTGGATTGATAGGATTTGTTCTATCATGTGCAACCCAATTCGTGAAAAGTGAGAAAAAAGTCTTTGTTTATTTTAGCTAATTATTGTATCTAATTAGTGGGAATTGTTCATATTAGACCTTCTTTGAATAAGAAGCAATTAACAGATAGTAACTTAGGAATTTAAAAAATCACATATTGGATTGATAGGATTTGTCCTATCATGTGCAACCCAATTCGAGAAAAGCGAAAAAAAAATCTTAATATTTTTTTGCTTATTCGTGGATTTAATTAGTTTGGATGGTTCACATTAGAGTTAGTTTGAATAATCTAAGTAATCTAAACACAGTAATTAATTAATTCAATATAGTTTTTCCTGTTTTCACATATTGGCACGCTCCACACGTCCCTGAATGACCTTAACTGTTGATAAGAAGTTAAACGAAATCAAACCAAACCGAAACAAAACCATGCGTTCAAGTCAGAGTCGGCTTTTTTAATGATAACTATTCGTGCATAACAGATAAAAGATTCAACTTACCTTTCTTGAATCATCGTTCCGTAACTAAAGAGAAACAATATCTCACTTCCATACAACAAACACTAGTTTTAATCTCGAACGTTGTCACACGTTATACAATACTGGACGTTATTCAGCCTTTATCTGCAAGCGATAAGATAGTACACGCATCTAAAAGCAATAAAGCTATTGATTAAATATTCAAAAGATGTTCGGTCATAGATAACAGAAGATTTACTGACCAGTACGCGTCTCAGGAATTTAAATTGCCACTCGAAATGTTACCTTTTTCGAATACTATAAAGATATATTTTGTAGTAATAATTCATAAACACTGACAATCACTTGAAAATTCCAACGTTGTGTGATATCATGATAACATGATAGCGGTGTCAACACCGGCCTTTAAGGACTTTCCACCTTTCGTAATACACATGTTTTTCTTGTCGTATTTTCGTGTCGTATTTTCCGTATTGCGTATCGGGCATTTCATTACCGTAGTGTAAATTATAATATTTACATTTGCATAACATTGTCACTATATATAGCCTCTTTGAAAGCTGTGTCGTTGATGGGACTTTAATTCCCATGCATCACGAGACACAATATTTAGCGTATTAATACAACACTGACCGGAACTACAATATCCAATATAAATAAACATGACGGCTGCTAAAATATCGCTGGGCATTGTGAGATTTGACAATGTCATTGTAAATTTATGTGTAAAATAAAAAATAAAATAAAAAACACTTTTATTACAACTAAAACAAGACCAAGGTCTGCAATATCGTACAACATACACATCGGTTGAAATCACCTATGCCGGCAATGGAAACAATTTTAACGCTCATGCAATTTATCAGAAATATCGTCTGTTACACTGCACTGATCAACAGGGGTTCGTTACAAATGTCTGAAATACACATATTCTATAGACCTACTGACACATATGTTACAGACCTACTGATATGAGTCACAGCACACATAAACATTTCAGACATTTGTAACGAACCTGTGCTCCGTCGCAAGATCACTCACTTCAAACGCTATCAGTTTCACGCGTCTCGCATCCACGGGCGGTTCCTCAGTTTCTGACGACATGACAAATAACGAGTGTGTTATAGAATCTACCGACTGTTGTCAGGTTCCCATACAATCAACAAATAAATTCACGCCTGGATTTTTCACAAAATGAGCAAAGAGAAAAGTTCGAATTAACTTCCAAAAATAACTCCCTCGTGGAGGGCAAGGTCGGATTTACGGTGTTCACTGTATTTGTCCATGCACGAAATTTGTTCCGGGGAAAAATCGAAACAATTTCAAATCTAACTTCAAAATTCTATTGATAAACTTAAATCTCCCTACAGACATATCATACGCAATTGTATTGATACTGAATTGTGAAATAAAATTGAAATGTTTGTTAAAAGTACTACTTTGTTTGCCAATCAGCACGCGACAATACGCTGTTCAAACTATTGAACGAAATTGTGTTGACTGTCGATAAGGCGGGCATTTTTAATTTTAAATATAAATTATGAGTTAAAAAAGAACATAAGAGGCAGAGAAAACGTTAATATAAGTATTGAACTGTTTTTGTATGGTATTTATGATCTATTTGAATGCAACACCGGGTAAACAATAGTACACGTGCGTGACGATGATATGTCAACACCGGATATCGAGACCTAACTTGGAAATGTGTAATCACACGTACTTCAGAAATAAAGCTTATGATTTATCTCACAGGAAAACACTGACATACGATCAGACGACTTCAAGAATGTGGTATGAGGCGCATGGAATGCAGACTTATGTGTTTTGTTTACCGACCTCACCTGTACGTATCATGTGCTAACAGTAGTTCACAAGCTCTTGGTCGCTATGACATTTGCTTTCGAGCGAGTTACGCTCTTTCAGATAAATTGGTTCACAAATGCAATTACATGTGAAAATAGTGGTTTGTAAAATATCAAGATCCCTATAAAATGCAAGTGCATGTGCGTGCACGTAATAACGGCATACCATGCGATAGCCTATGGTTACATACGTACCTGACATGTTGATATACCATGCGTAAGCGGGCTATGGAATGATGTCCAAAGTGTACATGATTGAGAGTAATTTTGTTCCATAAAAGAACAGTAAATTGACAATTAAATATAGTAATATAATTTAATTCCGTCGTTTTTGATATAGTAAAGAAAATAAGTGTCATTGTATAAATTCTATCCCTCTGCAAAAAGTTCCGATTTTTTTCAAGGTAGACAACTCTCATCAGGATCAAAATTATTGTAAAATGTGAAATAAATTAATTATGAAGACTTTGTGTGTATTTGGTTCAATTTTTCACTCTTTTTGTATGAAACTATGTGTCCTGTTTGCTTTTAGCTTGTATTTAGAAACTTGTATCCATACAATTTCAATAAAAAACGCTTTTTGTAACATGTTGTAGATATTTTATGATTAATAAAATATTTGTAGGGTTGATAAGCGATGTTTCTTTTCATTATTTTATTGTTGCAATAGTTTTGAACAATGCCACATGCTCAAAAAATCTGAAAGTGTTGAATTTGACAAAAAAATCAATTTTTCGGTATTATTTACCAAAAAATCCCCAGTTTAACGGAATGCTTAGATTTTCATAAAATCATCTCTACATAGTGACATAACCATTATGTAAAACTTTCATTGAATTCTGCTGGCTAAATGCGAAAGGGTGGAGCCTCCTTAACATAGTGTTCTAGCCGGGAATAGCCGGTGAGACTTATGGTGTGTGTATGCTAGTGTTATATAGTGTATATGGTTTGTATGGTGTGACGTGTGGTATGTATATGATAGTGTTACATAGTGTATATGGTTTGTGTGGTGTGTAAATGTTAGTGTTATATAGTGTATATGGTTTGTATGGTGAGACCTGTGGTATGTATATGATAGTGTTACATAGTGTAGATGGTTTGTGTGGTGTGTATTTGATAGTGTTATATAGTGTATATGGTTTGTATGGTGTGACGTGTGGTATGTATATGATAGTGTTACATAGTGTATATGGTTTGTGTGGTGTGTATATGATAGTGTTATATAGTGTATATGGTTTGTGTGGTGTGTATATGGTAGTGTTATAAAGTGTATATGGTTTGTATGGTGTGATGTGTGGTGTGTATATGATAGTGTTATATAGTGTATATGGTTTGTATGGTGTGATGTGTGGTGTGTATATGGTAGTGTTATATAGTGTATATGGTTTGTGTGGTGTGTTTATGATAGTGTTACATAGTGTATATGGTTTGTATGGTGTGTTTATGTTAGTGTTATATAGTTTATATGGTTTGTATGGTGTGACGTGTGGTATGTATATGATAGTGTTAAATAGTGTATATGGTTTGTATGGTGTAATGTGTGGTGTGTATATGGTGGTGTTATTTAGTGTATATGGTTTGTGTGGTGAGACCTGTGGTCTGTATATGATAGTGTTACATAGTGCATATGGTTTGTGTCGTGTGTATATGGTAGTGTTATATAATGTATATGGTTTGTGTGGTGTGGACGTGTGATCTGTATATGATAGTGTTACATAGTGCATATGGTTTGTGTCGTGTGTATATGGTAGTGTTATATAATGTATATGGTTTGTGTGGTGTGGACGTGTGGTCTGTATATGATAGTGTTACAAAGTATATATTGTTTGTGTGGTGTGTATATGATAGTGTTATATATTGTATATAGTTTGTATGGTGTGATGTGTGGTGTGTATATGGTAGTGTTATATAGTGTAGATGGTTTGTGTGGTGTGTATTTGATAGTGTTACATAGTGTATATAGTATGTATGATGTGACTTGTGGTGTGTATATGATAGTGTTACATAGTGTATATGGTTTGTATGGTGTGTATATGGTAGTGTTATATAGTGTATATGGTTTCTATGGTGTGCATATGTTAGTGTTATATAGTGTATATGGTTTGTATGGTGGGACCTGTGCTATGTATATGGTAGTGTTATATAGTGTATATGGTTTCTATGGTGTGCATATGTTAGTGTTATATAGTGTATATGGTTTGTATGGTGAGACATGTGGTCTGTATATGATAGTGTTCGTAGTTTATATGGTTTGTGTGGTGTATATATGGTAGTGTTATATAGTGTATATGGTTTGTGTGGTGTGGACGTGCGGTCTGTATATGATAGTGTTACAAAGTATATATTGTTTGTGTGGTGTGTGTATGATAGTGTTATATATTGTATATAGTTTGTACGGTGTGATGTGTGGTGTGTATATGGTAGTGTTATATAGTGTAGATGGTTTGTGTGGTGTGTATTTGATAGTGTTACATAGTGTATATAGTATTTATGATGTGACTTGTGGTGTGTATATGATAGTGTTACATAGTGTATATGGTTTGTGTGGTGTGTAAATGTTAGTGTTATATAGTGTAGATGGTTTGTGTGGTGTGTATTTGACAGTGTTACATAGTGTATATAGTATGTATGATGTGACTTGTGGTGTGTATATGATAGTGTTACATAGTGTATATGGTTTGTATGGTGTGTATATGGCAGTGTTATATAGTGTATATGGTTTCTATGGTGTGCATATGTTAGTGTTATATAGTGTATATGGTTTGTATGGTGGGACCTGTGCTCTGTATATGGTAGTGTTATATAGTGTATATGGTTTCTATGGTGTGCATATGTTAGTGTTATATAGTGTATATGGTTTGTATGGTGGGACCTGTGCTATGTATATGGTAGTGTTATATAGTGTATATGGTTTGTATGGTGTGATGTGTGGTGTGTATATGGTAGTGTTATATAGTGTATATGGTTTGTATGGTGTGATGTGCGGTATGTATATGATAGTGTTATATAGTGTGTATGGTTTGTATTGTGTGACGTGTGGTGTGTATATGATAGTGTTATATAGTGTATATGGTTTGTATGGTGAGTATATAATGGTGTTATATAGTGTATATGGTTTGTATGATGTGACGTGTGGTTTGTATATAATGGTGATGTTATATAGTGTATATGGTTTGTATGGTGTGATGTGCGGTATGTATATGATAGTGTTATATAGTGTATATGGTTTGTATGGTGTGTATATAATGCTGTTATATAGTGTATTTAGATTGTTTAGTTGATCGGGTATGCCCAAACTAAAAGATTGAATTAACATACATACGGAATTTTACATTCGACACCGTGAAATAAATTATACTAATGGAAAGGTAGCCAAAATATTATAACACGATTCAAAATGTTGTGACCATGTCAAAATTGTCACTGATCGGGTATGCCCAAACTAAAAGATTGAATTAAGATACATACGGAATATTACATTTGACACCGTGAAATTAAATTATACTAATTGAAAGGTAGCCAAAATATTATAACGCGATTCAAAATGTTGTAACCATGTCAAAATTGTCATATAGACAAAATCGTTCAAAACAGTGTTGATTCTATAAATAAATACTG